CCCCCCGGGGGATTATCCTTGATAAGTCATTTGCTGCCTCTGTAATTAAAACCCGGACTAATATTCCGATCTGCAGTGATTGGCGCTTGAAGCGTTGTTCAAGGAATCAAGAAACCCTTCACCAGGTGTAACAGAAGAATTTGCTACAAGGAAAAACACTTGATTCAAGAACAGTAAAAGTTATTTAGGTTTAACAACAGAAAACAGCAAAGGTGGGGTGAATTTTTCTATTAAATCACGCATCACGGAGAAATTTTTTCACCAATCAGGCGTCACGTAAAGAGAAGTAAGTACACAACCAATTTTGCTTTCTCGATCCTAAAAGCGTCGTTAAAAGAAGAACTTTGCCGATTCAACCACAAAAATGCATCGGCAAATAAATATGTGACCTCTCATGCGAAAACGTTCCATACAGTATCCGTTGGAACGGCTGAACGCACGGCAAGTTAACTAGCCTGCGAACAGGCTCCCAGCGAGGGCGGAAAAAAACCCGGCGGGGGCGGAAAAAAAAGTCCGGCGAGCGAAGCGAGCCAGTAAGCACGAAAAAAGGAATTTCGCGAATTGCGCTTCCCCTCGTCACCATTCCGCTCTCGGCTCTCCCCGCTCGCCCTAGACCACCCTTGGCTAGCTTGCACTAAACACATTAACCCAACTAGGAGCCTGTTCGCAAGCTACAAGTCAACGGATAATTTGAATAGCGATAGTCAATTTACTTGTTCCAAGATATCTTAAGACCACTTCACATGAGTTGATAACCACTGAATATAACGAGTATTGACTCTGGAAACGTTTTAATGAAATGCAAACTGTAAAGATAAATGTGAGGGATTCATGGGATGTGGGCTGTGTAGGTATATGTGTAGACTACGAGTAGTCCCTCTTTCGCTTAGTCCGTCGTGCGTGACGCGAAAGAAAACCGCGAGAGAAAAATGGCCGCGCGAAATCCTGGAGGCGAGGAGCACGCGAAAGGAGGGACTACCGCTGTCACAGTGATATGTGTATCCCCG